ATTAATTATCATAACACGATTAACCATCGTGAGCTACCATTAAATATAACCATAATTAATAATATAATATATATGATTCATCCCATTAATGAGCTAATGTTTCTAAGCATGGCTAAGCAATTATATATATAGCATTTAGCTGAACCAAACCAATATATAAGGTTCTAGCTAATCAGATTATAACCCATAGGAAAATAAGGTCATCTTCGGCCATTAATTATTCGGGAAAAGGTTCACCACCCGATGACATTCAAAAATAATGCATAAGTTGAAATAAAACAATAGTTTTAAACGGGTTCAACATGCTCAAAGGGTTGTTTGGGATCTGTGTGACTTTCCTTGACCTTCCGCAAACACTTCTGAACCTTCCTCAACGAAAACGCTCTCCTCCGGAACGTCGGAAACTAAAGCGAAAGAACAAAATCAACAAAACAGTAAAAAACAGGCACAAACAGTACATGTGGATATTTTTAACATGTAGATCTCGATTTTAGAAAAATTTACCAACTTGAACCACCTGAAACGGATCTACGATTATTTAGTTATGATTTTCCGAAGATTTAATCTATTAGAAAAAGGGAAAAAGAAAAGATGATGATGTCACGATGACGTCATCGACGGCAGCCACGGCATGGGTGGCGACCTCGCCGGAGCTAGAGAGGTCGGCTGGGCTATCTAAGGGCATCTACACGTAGAGGACGACGACGCGATCTCAACGATACTCACCAACGCGACGAACGACGACGGATGACGGCCGGCGGCGAGCTTGTGCGGCGGTGGCGAGTCGGTCGTCGGCGGCGGCGACTCTCCGGTGACCGGCGACGGCGGGGAGGGGGCGGCCGAGCTTCCCCTCTTCCACGCGCAGCCGAAGGCGGCGAGAGGAGGCGGCGGCGACGGCCAAAACGACGGCGCGAGGCGGCTGTTCGTCGGCCGGCGACGGCGGCGGCTAAGACGACGTGGCGGCGGCTCTACGGTTGACGAGAGAGCTCGGGAGATGGGGAAAACGAAAGAGGGCGACTAGGGGGTGCTATTTATAGGCTTGGACTGAAGAGATCGGCTCAGGAACGGATGGATTTGGTGAAAGAAGTTAGGATTTATCCGAGTTCACCCGAATATAAACGGCCAAAATTCGTGAGATATATAACGAATTTGATGGGGGTTTCTTCGGGATTAGGTAGAGGAGATAGAGAGGAATCCGTTTTTGCAACCAATTTTGGAAGGGGATCAACGGATGCACCGGATTTGATGGAGGAGGAGGCGACGGCAACAGGCACAGGACGGCAGCTCGGGCTCTGCCTGGAGCTGGAAGACGACACTGTAGCGAGAGAGACGTAGAATAGACTTTTTGGGCTGGGCCGGAAGGGAGCAACAAAGGACTTCCAATTTAATAAATTAATCAATGAGATGATCTTTGAATTGTTAAAAATACTTCCAATGCTCAAATGATTTCAAGAAAAATCCTGAAAATACTTGGACACTCAAAGTATTTAACAATATTAAAATCAGATCATTTAATGATTAATTTAATATTTAAATAATTGCTGAACTGCTCTTTGTATGATTAAAATTAGGAATTGAGCTCCGAAAAATCTGAGAAAATTCCAGAGAGTATAATTAACCGTGGAGAATTTAATAAAAATTAAATCCATCCATGCTTTATATTTGGGAAATTTTATTTTCCACATTTAACTTCTCTTGTAAATTAATGAACATTTAATATAAATTCTAATAATAATTTATTAAATAATTTATAAATCCTGAAACGAAAATCAGGGTGTGACAGCCGCAGCGACGTCAGAGGAGGAGGAACCGATGGCCTGGTCGGCGCGCGCAAGGAGAGGAGCAGCTGGCGGCCGTCGGCATCTCAGCGCGCGCAAGGAGGAGGAGGCGGTGGCCAAGAGGAGCGGCGGCGGCTCTGGGCACCAATCCTATCCCTTCCTTCCCCTAGATGCTAGTGGCGGAGGAGGGGCCGACGGCGGTGGCGGCGCAGACAGCACCGGCCGCTCCTCTCCCAGATCTGGACGGAAGAGGGGAGCCGGTCGGCAGTGGCGGCAAAGGCAGCGCTCTCCTCGCCCTCGGGCAGCGGCGCCGGGCGGAGGTGGAGAGCCGTCGGCTGGAGGGGGATGCCGATGCTGGCGGGTAGCACCGGATTTTATTTTTTGTTCCCTGAAATTATTTTCGCAGGCGAGCCGCGGAACCGCCTGTGAAAATCACCTATTTTCACAGGCGATAGGATACTGGCGGTTCTCTCCCCCGCCTGTGAAAAGTGTTTTTGGCCGCCTGTAAAAACTATTTTTTTAGTAGTGAAAACAATCTAAATTATATTTGAAATGTAAATTTGGATTTGAAATCATTTGAACAACATATTCTCTTGCAACTTATGTGTGGAGAACTAATATATTTTGCAAGGCACATCTAGAAAAAGTTACGCATTAGTTATGCCAAAGGATTTGAATTTATAATTTTGAATTCAAAAACAAGAACCGGATATATAGTTAAGGGCAGTTCAGCCAATTACCGCCTACAACAAGTTTTTGAATTTAAAAAGTTGGATTCAAACTTTTGTTCGCAAAAACCAGTAAGCGGCCAGTTTTCCTTAGGAATTGATTGCTCACAGCTACATCACCATTCATCACATTCACCTCTGCTCCTCTAGCTATCACCATAAACTGGTAACAATTTATTATTATATTATAATCCAGTTGTGCATAGTCCTTTGTTTAAAAGAAAATCATGCTAATACATATAAAACATTGTCATCCATTTATACAAAGTGCATGACTAAATTAATTTGTCAACAACTCATGCAATACATCACTTGGGAGTTAAGACAACCACAAGCATATATGCTACTCTAGGGCAATTTCTGCTTTACAACAATTTAAGAGAAAGTTAGAACTTAGGAAGTTAGGAACTTCCTTTTTTTTTTCTTGTGCAACAAAGTTAGGAACTTCCAAATTCTCAAAAGAGAACACCATCCACTACAAGTTCCTCTAGTCATTAGGCATGCAACAAGTTCTTCCTATTAAAGTTATGCTCTGTGAAAAAAGTAGGGTGAAACTAGAAAAAACTCAAACCTAGGACCAACCTAATATGACCTTAGTAATCTTTAAAAGCTATATTATATTTTCGTAGAATTATAATGGGATTATGGATCTAGGCTGTGGGCCTCAAGCCCCAACTACCAATGTCCCCCTAGCGAAAACCCTTTTCCACGAGAAACCATAGTTATTGGCATTGGACCGTACCAGCGGTCCGACCAGAAAACACCACAACCAGGAGCTCCGCGAGAAAGAGAAACTCTCTACCACAATTTTTGACGTTAAAAACAGTACTCAGCTGAAACTTCATGATAGCGCCCTAAAAAGAGTACACCACCTGAATACGCTATGCTTTTCAGTTCACCTTCGATGTGCTTTCCTTTCCTCCACATGGCGCGCCGCGTTGGTGGCCACTAAAACAGCGCTGCAGCGGATCTTGGGACACCACCACCACCACCACCACACCAGCACCAGAAGAGGTGAAAGTGGGGTGTGGTCGATCGATTCCCATGGTTGGCTGCTTTCTTCCCGGCTTCCTTTGCAACAGGAGACAAGTGTCATCATGATGGGGGTGCTACTTCAATTGATGATCTTCGTACGTGCATGTGGCTGTGAAAAAAAACAGCATGGAGAACACGGACCGGAAATGCCAAGTTGGTGAGGGGTTTTATTTGAGTGCTTGTTGGAAAGCTGCTCATTCCATCATGGACTGATCGACAGACACATTATTGTGGTCAAGTCTCCTACTAATTCGCACACAAGTCACAAGTGGTAGATAGGCAGCCCCATGCACCTCACCGCTGTCCATTAGCATGCTAAGGCCCTGTTTAGTTCACAAAATAAAAATTTTCACGCTGTCACATCGAATATTTGGACACATGCATGGACTATTAAATGTAGGAAAAAACCAATTACATATATTGCTTGTAAATTGCGAGACGAATCTTTTAAGCCTAATTACGCCATGATTTGACAATGTGGTGCTACATTAAACATTTGCTAATGACGGATTAGTTAGGCATAATAAATTCGCCTTGCAGTTTCCTGACGGAATCTATAATTTGTTTTGTTATTAGACTGTGTCTATATATCCGATTTGATAACCAAACCCAAAAGTTTTCCGCAACTAAACAGGGCCTAAGTTGGAAACAAACGTTCACTTAACTGTGACTTACCAGCTTAAGTACCTACCAGCTGTTTGCAACTTTGGATGGGAAAAATTCTCTCTCGTAGGATGATTCTGCCTCACCAAACATGCATAGAAGCATGTGTGTTTGGGTAGGTGGCTGGGTTATATACTCTCCCTTTATAACTTTTATTTTTTTATTTTTCACGCGCACAATTTTGAAACTGTTAAATGGTATATTTTTTATTAGAAATTTTATAAAAAGTTTCTTAAAAAATTATATTAATCTATTTTTCTAGTTTATCAAGCTAATAATTAATTAATCATGTACGGGTTACCTCTTTTCTTGATGAGGGACGAGATCCGAACTAGGAGGTTCGAAAACACACCAGCCTGGGAAAAGAGTAAAGCTAGGAAAATACGCTTTGTGTTGGGGAAAGCGTAAATTAGGAAGAGAAGTGCGTAAACAAATTATGCCACATTGGTCTGCTCCAGTGTAAATACTCTTCAGGAGAGGACATGGACGCATTGATTCGTCATTTCCAGGTACAAATCCTCTCTCTCTAGGGGGTGTTTGGGAGAGCCCCTCTCTCAAAAACATAAGTCCCTCCCTCCCCTAGGGACTTATTGTTTTGTGCAACCAAACCAATACCTTAACATGCGTGAAGCCACAACCTTAACATGTTGTGTGCAATTATTCTTGTTAATTTGTTTTAAAAAGCACCTCATCCTGATTGTTTTCTACAAGTTCCGCCGCAACACGGGGTGTCATGTAGTTACAGAAATGATTAGTACCAGGAAAAGCATTCAAGAACATAAAGAAAAAAAAAAGATAAGGGGTCCAACAGTGCAGTGCCAAGCAACATTCTTTGTGACTGCCAACTGTACAATTAAGGCTAAACAAACGAGCCCGTTACCGCTGCTATACAAACCAATCATGAATCAAGCTATAACAGCTGAACAGGTGTTAAATTAAGGTAAGAACAATCTCTCCACGTTTGAAGAAAACTGCAGGAGACCGCTCATTCTATACTGTGACGAACAAAAACTATAGGAGAGCATTTCTCTTTTAACATGGTTGTTGGTTGTGTTGCCAAAATATTAACACGATTGCTTGAGAGCAACGGACTATGTGGCGATGCCAAAACATCTCTTTACGGGGAGGAGAAAGGGCTGCATGAAGGTTGACGATGGCGGTGCAGGCTGCGGCTTCTCAAGGCTCCTGGGCTGTGGGAGATGTTTCAAAAATGCTTTCACTGCCCCGTCAACGCCATCTTCCGATTCAATTGCTTTTGCTAGCTCAACAGCTCTCTCCTTCACCTGGCATTGATCAAAACACCACAACTCAAATTGAAAAGTGTGCAACCTTGCCCTTGTTAAGAAAGTATTATAAGCTATATTTTCCCTAGTTCCTTGTCATTTCTTGTTAGTGTTTTCAACAAGCTATAATCAAGAAGACATTTTCTTCAATTAGTTTTTCCAGAATTACAGGTTAAAAAGCAAAGACTCAAGTTCATGTGGGTATGATGCCTATATCTAGCTACTTCTAAATTTCTAAAAATAATACTTGAGTGCTAGTTGAAAAGAATCACAGGTACTTTTGTAAACTGTTCAAGGGGTCCGCATAGGGAGTCCTCACAAAGCCACAACTCTGTTTGCTGTACTACTGTACCTGAACATATCAGGATTTCTGATGGTAAGATAGCAACTTCACTATAAGAAACAGTAACTTTGTTCACACAACACCACTGCACTAGAGTTGATAATTTTTTTAATCATCTTATCAGTGATGCAACCAATATAGAATGTTGAATGATCAAATTTTTGCATGTATAAAATTCAACCATGAAAAGATAGTGAATGTTCTGAATGTAGGATAAGAAGCATTCATAGACAAGAATGTTCTGAGTTCCTACTCTTTCACAGACAAGAATGCAAGTACACAGCTCACAGGTAAATGATTTTCACTTTCGAGTTGTTCACATGATTATTAACCCAAAAAATGACAAATGGTGAACAGTACTGAGTTGGTTGCGTAGAGAACATAAACCAAAACAATTGTAGGAAATTGTTTATCAAGTAAAGAAACACATAAAATTTGATTTAACAATGACATCAATAAAAGTACTAGACTTCTAATGGAAGCCCCCCAAAAAAAAAGAGATCATAAGTTCCATTTTTTGGCAACAGAACGTACAACTAAAAATACCTTTGTTGTTTTTTTCTATATGTGGCATAATTGCTACTTGACAATTTTGACACTAGTGAATAACTTGCGATAAAAATACAAATAATCAGCAACTAGCAAAATTTGCAACATACCTTTGGATCCATCATAAATTTAATTGCATCAACCAGTAGATGCAATTGTAATTGCTCCACAGGGACAGGTGGGGCTCCCAATCCTCTAGCATGCACCATGTTGCCCCAAAAGAATTGATCTCCAAAGAATGGTACGATGGTAGTGGGGCACTACAAATTTTAGAAATGGAGACATTTAGCAGTGTGCCACAATACACATACAAACACAAACAGAGAGAGAGAGAGAGAGAGAGAGAGAGAGAGAGAGAGTACCGCAGCCTTAAGACTGGCAGCTGTTGTCCCAGCACCACCATGGTGTACCTGACAAGGGAAAAGGGAATACAACAGCAGTCAACAAAAAAGAATGCAGTCTTATTCTTTTCTATGCAAAATGACTGAACAAAATAATGTCACGTTATATTTTCACTGTTGAAACAAAAACAATATCATACTCAAAACTTGAAGTAGTGCAAAAGTGTTCATATCTCAATAAAGTAGGTTTCAAAGTAAATAAGGCTACAACTATTATCAGAGTAAATTAGAAAATTAATAAGAAAAATCAAGCATTGTCTTCCACAGTTACAACTCATGTTTTAATCAAATCTCCCCTTTATGTAAAAAAAAAAAAAATCCTCCACTGTCACAGCACGCATGACTTCTATGATTCTATCTGTTGGCGGTGCATGAAAATACAAGGTATTTAGCATGCAGTCAAGTAAAACTGCTAAATCAGAATACCAGAAGTCCAGAACCCCCCCTGATTATGTAGTATGTATGCAATCGTGTTAATCAGTGACTTCAAGCTTAACATAAATCTCCGGTGAATTTAAAGCTAGTCATAATCAGTTTTCTACCCAGTTTGTCTAGATAAGCATTGCAGCATGTTCAGTCGCGATACTAGATTGTCGGCATATAACAATCAGGAAATAGCAGAAAGCCTTACCACAGCCTTGCACTGCAAAAAAAGCCAGTCATGTGGAATGTTATCTATTACATATACAAATTCCTTAGGTTCCTCTACTGCAAAATGGCATAATAAGAAATGTTAGAGAGCATGAATAATGATGGCAAGTTAATATGTCAAATCCAAAGAACTGTTACGACTTTATACTTACAATTTCCAAGGCCACCCCAACCCTTGTTAATGATACCTCTCTGTCCAGTAATTTCAAGTGCTTCCACTATGATTCTTGTCAACTTATCTGGTTCTGGAATTGGCTGAAATTACTGAGTCATCAGTTATAAACGAAAGCAGAGAAAATCTTAGCAACTAATACGTAAGGAAGCTCAAAACAACAGAAATTTCTTATTTCCCACTGGAAGTACCCAAGACTCCCTGATTTGCACTGGGAAAAAAAAGTGTTTCCTTGGTACCACCAGAGACCTTACTACTCTTCTACGCCCCACCAATATTTGGCTACCATCCTATTAAGTGGGTGTTGGCAACTTTTTTTGACAAGTAGACAAGCACGATCGGACACCTAGACGCCTTGCGGTGATAAGGAGTCGCCAACCACCCTAATCTAGCAAAAAGCTAGACTAAGATGGGTTTTGATAGATTAAACCGGCTAGCGGAGCCGATTTAGATGAAACAATAGATAACTACCTGTCTCGTGGGCAAACGGAAGGTTTACAGGACAAACCTACAAAGGATTTCGCACTCTCGCAGCGAAGGCGGACGATTTACGGCGCAAATCGACAAAGATGGGCGAACTAGATTGAAATATTGAAAAAGCGATTCAATTGGCTAAATTGGCTTGTGTGTAGATTGTGTCCTCAATTGAACCGACCTTATCCCTTATAGAGGGGTTGGTCTTGCCTCCGACAGGTCCTCCTCCACGTCCAACTCAGGATAGAAACCAAAGGAAACCCGAAACATAGCCTCCCGAATAAGGAATCCCAAGACCCGACGAAAACAAACTCGGGCTCAGACTCTGCCGGTCTGACGGACCACATGCCGTCGGTCAAACCGGCCCTCAAGCTGCGGTCTAACCAGGCCAATACACGGTGGTCAGACCGGCCCTGTGGAGGAAACCAGCGACTTTCCCAAATCTTGGCAATTTTCCTTAATTTGAACATAGGTGCCAAATTTGGGTGTAAACAGTGGGTTGCAAGAGAACAGAAATACCCTTCTTTGACTCTTTGTCTTCCTCTCTCTCCAGCAAATACTCGTCACAAACATGCTCAACCTCAACTTGCGATGAGCCACTGACTGCTTCACCCAATGGATCTGTGATGTTCTAGACTCTGGTTATAAGCTTCTTATACATGTATTGGTGGACTCTGCTTTGTTTTTATTTTGTTTTTGTACTGAGAATGCAATATTGCTATACTGTGCGCAACATGCTGATGGTCAGCACTCAGGTTGGGCTTCAGGATTCACAGCTATGTATTTGTTGAGCTCCAGACCAGTCTTCTTTAGCTTTTCCCAGGGTTTTAAACATATTTGTTCTAGGCTTCTAGCTTATCTAATTTAACTTTAGACCTTGCTTTATAGCTAGTGGATTAGCAAAGGAGATGGAAAGTGAGAAAATATTCCTTATTAATGAACAGTAGCAGTGGCAGGTCGACATGTGGGCCATATGTTGTTGGGCGCAATATAGGCATATTGAGAAAACATGACTACATTTCAATTTCCTAGACAAGTAAATTCAGGATTTAAAAAAAAAAGGAAAGCAACTAGATACAAATTTATCAAGGTCCTAATAAATGGGGCAATTGCACAAACGTCAATATGATTGTTTGCTTAAGAAGTGTATTGAATCAGCTCCATATAAAATATCTGCCAAATCTATTATCCATTCACCTTGTACGACAAAAAAGGACAAAGTAAACGGATGAAATTGACCCAACAATAAAGGGCTAACGTTGTCATGAAGACAATAAGGAAACATACTTGAACTTATAGAATAATCATATGTAGAGACTAGGGACATGATAGAAAAAAAACACAAGAAAATATGCTAAACTTACAAGGCTGCCAAAACCTATGTAAATAGGCTTTTCACCACTCTCAAGCCATTTGAGAAGGGGTTCAGGAGGTTTATAATTTGAAGCAAGATCGAGGAAGCAAAACCCAACAACGTCAATTTTGGGTCCCCAGTCTGTAAAGGAAGAGAACATCATATTTTTAATCTCATTCATAACCGTTAATTCCATGGAAATTACGATGGAATATAAATATAAACATATAATATACAGACAATTTGTGAGAAAGGAAAGGTCCATTTTACTCCCTTCAAAATATTTTTTCAGAGCTTCCATAAGATAGAAAAAGTGACCCGTTTTAGTGGTTCATGGGGTAAAGTGAGCAGACAAAATAGTTTAGAGGGTTAAGTGCCCCAGCGAAATAGTTCGAGTGAGCAAAATGGACTTTTTCCTTTTGATAATTAAATACATATTGGATACTTTAGTAGTCATGCTTGCAGCTACATCATACAATCACCATATTTATGGCTGTGCCAACAAACATGATGAGCTAACTAGTGAGAGAATGTGTTTAGTTAGTGCAATAAAGAGCCAAGAGATACATACCCTTTGGTTTGGGTACAAGGTAAGGACTCCAGATATATGCATGAGGAATATCATTTGAATAAGCATGTGCGCTACTTAGGTACGTAACTGGTCTTAACTTCAACTTCCTTTTCCGAAGATCATTTATAATATCCCGAATACCAAGCCAAACAAAGGAGTCAACAATCTGGTATGATAGCTGCAACCATAAATAAAAAGAAGAAAGTTATGTGTTAAATGATAAAGATACAATATTTATTGGACTCCACAAAAGATTCGGTACTAGTGTAGTAGTGTATGGGTTGGTTAGCTATTCAGACAAAAAATAAAGTTATTAACGAAAATGCAAAGTTTATCCTACTCCCTCCGTCCCAAAATATAGCTATTTATAGCTATGAACCTATACAAATACTTGTCCATATGCATAACCAAAAATAGCTATATTTTGGGACTTGTCTAGGCGCATAGCTAGAAATAGCTATATGTTGGGACAGAGGGAGTAAAACAAATCTATTAATCAAAGCCTTAATGTCTTCTATGATGTATCTAAGCATTCAAATATCACCTATACGTTCATTGAAAAAAAAAAGCGCAACGTCTAATATCAGTTTTGACATAAAATGCTAACCCCTATATTCTCAACAAACATCGCATAAGTGGACAGCAGTATAATGGAGTAGCCTTGATTAAACAAATTGTTATATGGACCATAGAAGTTAATCCTAATCAGGATTATCACCCTTTCTAGCAACAAAAAAAATGTTATTAGATAGGCAATAACCAAAAAAGTCGAAACTACCACTAGCATGGAAGGAATTCTCCAGTAACTCTAAATTGATGTAAAAATACATAGCAAAATCAACTTACTCTATATCCTGCAGGTTGTTTTACACGGGAGAAGGGATGAGGGAATTCACAAGTAGGCCTGGTAATAATATTGCAGATCAATCAGCAACATCTACCACACACACACATGGAGGGAGAGAGAGAAAGAGAGCTTACGTCCATGGCATTGTGAAAATTATGTGGATTGGTACCTTCAGAGCCTCAGCCACATGCACATGCCCTGTATAGGCATTCATTTAGGACAATAGTCATACTAATGCAGCTTAAAGGCAAAAGGCACAGATTGAGCATAGAATACTACAATCAAGTCATAAGGATGTCAATGAAACTCAAGGCTGGCTTTACTCCAAAAGCAGATACAAAGCCCCACACTAAGGAGGATATTTTTGCATATATAGAACCAGAGCACTAGCAACAGACAAGTACTTGTCCAGGTGGCCAGAAATAGCTATATTTTGGGACAGAGGAAATATTTAATATAATTACATGGTTATCAAGTTTAATCAATAGCCAGTTAGTTTGTTCAGCTCATCTCGTAGAATGAAATGTTAGGACTCTCCTTCATGTCATGACAGGAGGTATACAAGAAGAAACAAGAATCTAGTTTCCTCAATTTCTCCAGCTGGCCACAGAGCTTTCGCCAATAGCATGAGAGAATAGCCACTGGCTGACTGGTCAATGATGAATGTCCTATCCTAAAGACATAATATAAGCACAAATTCAACGAAAGTAAATAATTGACAAACCACATTGTAAAAATAACTATTACCGTACGCTGCAGGATTAGCTATTATAGCATTTACATTGAAAGGAGCACCAGTATCAGTATCGGGATCTTTGCAAGCAGGAAGCAAGGAGAATATAATCTCTTTAATCTCCTTCCGCTGGATAGGGATTTCTGATGGAGTTGCAGGCAAGAACCCTTTATTCTTCACCATGTCTGCTCATATTACCAATCTGTACTGTTATGCGAGATCCAATACTAAACAGGTTCTATAAACTGAAAAATGGATTTGAGCACGATATTTAACATACATCCTGCAAGAAGTTTTGGGTCTCCGCCTAGGGGATAAAACTCCAGGCCAGCCGTCACAACAAAATCCTTGAAGTTGGCATGAGTTGCCAGTCTAACACGATGGCCATAGATCTGCAATAGAAGTAATTGTTATGGGATGTGCATAGAAGAATGATAAACTTTTCATTTAACTGGAAGTGAACAATTAGCACTTAGCATTATGCAATTTACCTGTCTACAACCAGTATAATCAAGAAGACATAGATAGATACAGGTTTTACATTTCGAAATGAAAAAATATTGAATGATTTTTTCTGACAAATTTGAATTTGAACAAATTTTATCTGAATTCAAAAAAATTATTATTTTTACTGGAGGCACTTCCTACATACAAAAAAACTGTCTGTAGAAACGATAATATGTTTTATATCAGAAAAATCTTTGCTTGTTTCATGCTCAGCATGATAAAAGATTAAAGATGAGTTAAATTTGTAACTAAAATCTCAGAAAATTATTTCTGTTTTTGTGTTTTGCTATTTATGCATTTTGTTAATTTAAGTGTGAAAATAAGTGCAATTGCTTGTTTATTCAACCAGATTGCAATAAGCATGAGTTCTTACATTATGCATCAAGACACAGAGAGGTCTTAGCTTTACTGGATCCTATAAAGAGAAGAAGTGTAAATACTACTTATATTACCAAACATAATAAAAGATGGGAGTTATATTTTTTCTAATCTATACTCTTCTAAAAAAGAGGGTAATGGTGGTGGCAGTGAATCTGCCACCACCTCACCAAGTATAGTATTTTTTTTTATTTACCATCTACTCCATAATGTTTTCTACCAACTACCCATGTACTTTTATGTTATAAAATAATCCCTCTACATATATGATTCTATCATATTTCAACTGTACAATATAACATCTACAGGTACAAAATTGTCCCAAAAACCTTCACTATCAATTTGTTTAAATCAGTAGCAAAGCACGAGTATTTGGCTGGTACAGATAAAGAGAAGAAGCGTTAATACTACTTATATTTGGTCCTTGACTTATCGCCCTAGTTAAAAAAAAGACCTTCAACTCCCAGGCCATATATCCACCCCCTGAACTCTGTCATATGGTCATACCAAATTAATAACTGATAAACTGAACATTAAAACCATCTCGTAATCAGGTACTCTGTCAACCTGGCCACCCTGTTCATCCACTTTGATGCAAAGTTCACATTGGCATGGGAATAAAACGTGCAGGCATGAGAGGGGGCGGTGGCTAGTTGTGAAGCTTAGTTGGGAAAGTACATTGCTCCAAAAAACCTAGCCACCATTCATCGAACTGTTGAGGTTTCAACAGATTCAATCAGGCAAAGCAAGTCGTAAGCTCTGGCAGGTCAAGGACCTCAGGCCTTCATCGGCTGCATATGGGGCAAGGGCAGCATGTAAGACATCAATATGGATCTCATGGAGCAATTTAAATCCCTGGAGATGTCTAACATGCATGAGGTCAGGGGTAAGCAGGGTTGTTCAGAAATTTTCCTTTTGATTTGGTATTTGAGTTAAGATGCAGTGATGGACTAATTTCATGGTTGATTTTTGCATATCTGGATATGAAGTTTTGACTGAACTTGTAGGCTGGGGGTTGCACTTTGGATGTGGTATAAAGTAAAGAGAAACACCCCTTCTTGAATCAACTTTTCTTGACTAACATGACTCAGAAATTTGAGGATGGGGAACAAAGAACGAGCTCGCTTGATAGCACATAGAGTCAAGATAGCTGAAGCTCATACGAAACAAGTTGTGAGAGGAGACTGCATTTGATAAATTAATGTCGAGGTTGCTAAACTGGAAAAGGAAAGAATGTTTTTGTTAGCTTTGGTTGAATGAATCAAGAATTCTGGATTTCTTGAAAAAAGAAACCAGTTTCAAATAACATTGATAGAAACAAAACAATATAACTTCTACAGATGAACTGAGAAAATGACCCACTTCTTACACCTGCACATATAGCATTGCTGAGAAGATGGCCATGTTGGAAGAAAATTAGATGGTTTCAGCAGGAGTTAGGAGTCTGGCATGAGAAAGTTCAGGGGTGCAATTGATGTTTGAGGGTTAATGATGTCTTTGGAACTCGAGTCAAGTTCAGACTTATTCCTAAGAATTATGGCAGCTCAATAAGAATATTCTACAAGATTCTTAAGAGGACCTAGCCACAGGAGTAAAATCTTAACTCCGATAAACAATTAATAAAATGCATTATGAAAATCATCAATTTGTGATAGCTCACTTATTATGCATTTTTGACGTTAAATCATAAACCATGACAACATGTTTGTGCTAATATAGAGGAAAATGCACCAAATAGAGCTTTTAAAATAGAATTTATTAATTATACTTCACATGAAGCAGAAATTGTTAGTAAAAATAAACAATACAAGAACTTAATAACTACCTTGCATGTTTGCATAACTTAGCCACACAGTTTCATGCACCAAGCAGGTCAACGAAAATTTTAAACTCTGAGCTGACATGGTATCTACTTCCATGTATCAAACATTTCATCTAATCTGGGAAAGCAGGAAATCTACTGACAGTTCAACACACTACTGTGTAAGGACTAGAATCAAAACCAAGTATTGACGGTACCACTGCAAAAGCAACAGTCAATAGAAGCAGTAGCCACAGATTATCAAAAAGGATTGAATAGCATGCCAACCTGCAATCGTTTTCCTATAGCTATAAAAGGCTGCACATCTCCTCTAGTACCAACAATGAGCATAACAATTTGCATAGGAGGTCTGTGCTGGAAATCTGAAGATGCCAATGGTTCCCCACTAAAGGCTTCATTACAGTAATCATTTGAAGAAAGGTCAAGAGATGCAGCCTCAGCATTAGTGGGGATATCAACTTCTACAGTTCCATCATCTTTCAGTATAGCCATTCGACTTAACAATCTGAGCTGCAGTGAAGACATAAGGATCAGAAGAATAGAAAATATGCCATTTGTTAAAGTGCATAAAGGAGTGAATGTTAAACAAGGAGTTTGACACTATGAATGTTAACCAAACAGTTGAGATAACTAATACTAAAAACACTAAATCTCTGTAATTATAATTAGAAAGTTTAAACATTCAAAAGTTACATTGCTTGGCATAAATTTTAGCTATTAGTTTGTACTGGTAAAATGTTTTGTGTCATTTTATTGTTCCAAATAAAAGCAGGGAAGATCTATGGCATCTAGCATGAACTTCAGATGTTGTTTCTGACTAGTATGGTCACACGAAGGCTCCAAGTCTTGCATAATCAAGATGGAGCAAACTCATAATAGATAATTGGCCCAACAAAAATGCATACCAAGGTTAACTAGCCTACCTAACTTAGAAATGTTTCCTGATTTCGCATAACTAAACCATTATAGCCATGCTTCCATAAATAAACCACAAAAGTCCAGACTTGTACCGAATCACTGCACGTCTCTAGTACCGAATCGCTGCCTAGCCCCGACTAATGCCAATTTTTAGAACATTGGTGACAAGAGGGCATGATGTCGTAATGTACTCCCTCTGTTGAATTTTACAAGATCGAAAAGTATCACCAAAGAAGTTTTTTTTTTCTCAAAAATGCAGGAGAACTATGTACTCCCTCTGTTGAATTTTACAAGATCGAAAAGTATCACCTTAGAAGTATTTTTTTTCTCGAAAACGAAGGAGAACTGTGCTTTCTATTTCATTAAGAAGAGATATTTTATTGTATGAATGTTATACATATAGATTTGTATTCGAAAATGCTTTCACACAAAATTGGTTTTATAGCTATTAAAGAAATACTTTAGACAAACCAACGGTCGAAATTTGATCTAGAAGACTTTTTAAAATAAAATTATGCCTTAAAAATCAACAGAGTTAATGTTATCATAACTCTAAGCATTCCATGTCATCATCACGTTTCAGAAAAGAATGAATATTAGGTGTACATGGCTAATTTGGGAAACATGTCAATATTACAGATAGAAATTACAAACAGAAGCTCGCAAGGCCTTGTCTTCCAGTTGATGTGAACAGTTTATAGACAAATATAGTAATATTTATAATACTAAATTAGATTCATCAAATCAATAATTGGATATATTTTCATAATAAATATGTCTTGGGTTGAAAATGTTACTACTTTTCTCTATAAATTTGGTCAAAGTTAAAGCAGTTGGACTTTAACCAAAGTCAAAACGTTTTATAACCTGAAACGGAGAGAGTATATTTTGTAGCTTTTTTTATACTGGCATATCAGTCCAAAATACTGTACTGCAGTATTGATTAACATCGTTCACAGAATAAGAAACATTGCACTATTCTTATCCATGGTGATCCAGTTTTTCAGTAAAATGAATATCACATTGCATATCCATGACTCCATGGCGGTGTACAGTTGACTTAATAGCAATAATTATGAGAATTAATAATTCATTATGTCATCTGTACAGCGAACAGAAAAAATGCGATATTTGTGCCAAGCGCCACATAAATTGCATGTTGTCATCATGCAAGCACCAGCAAAGAGACCCCAATAGAATTATCTAACACAGGTGAAGATAAACTTACCTTCTTTTTTATGGAAATCTTCTTATCAAATATTGAAGATGGCATTGCACATTCTTCAGGTTTTATGCTTTCCGAATTCGACCTGTCTGAAGATGTCTCAGAACATTCAGCATTATCTGTTCCTCTAGGGCTAGTACCCTCATTTGGTAGGCTAATATTGTTTGAAACTACAACAAAGTATTGCACAGTTACGTAAAGCAATAAGCCGTATGCATCTCAATGTAGGGACTAGGATTGTCTCCATTATCAAAAAAGTTACATAATGAATTAAAATTCCACCATCCAAGAAATACTTGACTAAATAATGCAGCTTCAAAGGTCACAGGGAGCACTTTTTGATAACACCAGAAGTCCAGAACATCAGTGGAACCCAGCATGTCCTTTATAGCTTTACAATTGATCTCCATTTTTCTTATCAAGCTTCTAAGTTCTAATAGTCACATTATAATAATCTTGCTGGCCAACATTTTTGTGTATTACTCAAGATAGGATGAAAATCATGTCGCAAAACATGTAGTGCAATCAAATGTACAAGGAATCACATATGATAATCAAAAGGACATTTTGTGTACAAGGAACTAATTTGAAGAGAACAAACACTCGGTGGCGACAAATACTAGCAGGAACCTCCCTAGTTCATTCCATTATCACAACTAACAGGTTACAGGTGCCACATTTTGTAGCACTAGAAAATATAAGAAGAGAAAATCAATAAAATGGACGAGCTTTCAAGCCTGAGAACTGAATGTCAAAGTCCACAACTATTCAGTCAAAAGAGTGGGGACCGGCAGGAAACACCATACTTCCCCAAATATGCCCAGTTCTCCCTGTCTCTTTCCTCCCAAAAAATGGAATTACACCCAAACACAAGAAAGCAAAACAAAGGTTGCTAAGTTTCTCTTACTGACAGAATTATTAATACAGTAGAACAAAAATTCGCGAAAAAGAAGCACCAAGCTCGCATAAACCCTAACGGGCGCTCCGGAATCATCGCCGAACCCCCAGCTTTCCATACAACAATGCCGCCCTCCCTAAGACTCCCCCGACCACCTCGACACCAAACCCTAACCAGGCCGCAGGGACCATACCGCAGCGCAAGCGCACCGACACGGCGCAGGACGAAACAGCAGAGAATGAGACTATGAAACTGTCCGAAACAAACGAAGCAGCACGAACACAGCAGTAAAAGTTCCCAGAAGCCTTCGCACCTGGGCAACGGCACGGAGAAGCGATAAACAAGGGGAAGGGGAGAGGGGAATCACCGGAAGAGGCGCCGACGAATCCCTCGCCGCCGCCGCTGGCCCCTCTCATCGGCCGCTCCAGCAACCTCCTAGTAACCCTCCCTCCCTCCCGAGCAGCGCAACCGGAGCCACGGATGCGGGTGGAGAGGAGGAGGAGGAGGAGACCACGGTGCGGGAAGGGAAGTGGGGAGGAGGCAGGAGAGAGGCGGAAGGCTTGTCGGGGAAGAGGGAGGCGGCCATTGGGTGCGGCGCGGGTGGGGGTGGGGCCCACCCACGTGGCATGATCTGGGAGCGTGCACGGCGCGGACGGGCGGTGAGGATGGTGCGGGTGGGGGGTGGTTTCGACTTGGCGTGGAAGTGGTTGACCAACCGGGTCGCTGTCGAGACTCGAGACCAAGAGCAGAGAGCGGAACCGCGCATGAGCCGCAGCCGGTGGCGGCGTACGGCTGGTCCGGCCAGCGCGGCGGTATGGTTGCTAGGTTCTTTGCTACTCCTGCCAGCTCAAAACGAAGACTTGAACCCTGGCACGTCAGCTGTCGGTATTCTTAATTGAAACACAAGCCGAACGTCAGCTATTCAAGCATGCATTACCGTTACGATATGTACTGTATATGAGGTGTGACAGCGTGTTTAGCACCCTATTTTTCCCTAGGGAGAATTGCACATTAGCCCTATTTGGAGATCTAACTATCGATTTAACAACCCTGTTCTCGTTACTCGTTACTTTGCTCACTTGACCCTCCCTTTCAAAATCAAAACTACATTCCGACCCTTTTTCTGTTAAGGACATTTAACGATGTTAAAAAAAAGCCTAAAATACCATTTTTACCCTTACTTATTTGACCTTATTATCCCAAAGTTATTTTTCTCCTTTGGTCCAATTTTGTGCAGAAGAAATGAACCGTACCCTTTCTTCTTCGCGTCGAGCGCCGGGCGAATCGCCGCACCTCTCTTCTCACCGCGCTACAAATCGGCGAGATGCTGCACCTTCCTCCTCATTGTGGGTGAAAAGCGAGCTCGTGGGTTGTGGCGGAGACGGCACGGGCAGCTTCGAGCGAGCTCGAGTTAGACACCATGGGTGGCAAGTTCACAGGGCACCGATGGTCCTCATCACTGAGCCAACGCCGCCCCTCCACAGCAGGCATCGGTGGTCCTCCTCGTCACTGTGCCAACGCCGCCTCTCACAGCCACCGCTGAGCTGCTGCCGCAGCCGCTAGCGGCGGCCCTCCTCATCGCCAAGCCGACGCTGCCCCGTTGCCGCCGCCCCTCCGTAGTCGTCGTTGAGCCGTCGCTCCCCTCCTGCCCTTTGTGCTCTGCTGAGAGAGAGAGGAGAGAGAGAGGATAAGGAATGAACAAATGAGTAGTAGAGGATAGGGTTGATGTATTCAAGGGCATTTTAGTCACTTGGGCTTGTATGTTTTTTCCTTTTTTTTTAAATGAAACACTCACGATGTAGCAAAAATAGGATCAAATGACAACTTCGATATTGAAAAACAGGACCAAATGAGTAAACTTAAAAAGGTAGGGTCAAATTAATAGTTAAACTCTAAAGTAGGGTCAAATGAGCTATTGTCCCTTTTCCACAGGACGTAATTCAGAAGTTGGATATATGACTTGATTAAGGGCTAGTTTAAATGTTCATGGTGGTTAAGCTTTTCGGCGGCATGTAAAATAAGATAAGATTAGCATATAAATAATTATGTGTTAATTATTACAAACTTTACTAAAGGTTCGTTTGATTTTTTTTAAAACAATATTTTATAGAAAAAATTTTAATGAATACACCATTTAACAGTTTAAAAATATGATAACGGAAAACGACAAAATCTCTGTGCAAATGCAAATGGTAAGAATGATACTACTAGCTTTCATAATCCCCTTCCTTCCAAAAAAAATAAAAAGAAAACTTTCATAATCCCCATTCCACACATGCCAAAGTGCGTGTCGTTCGGCTGTGCAAAGTGGTTTTCCGTTAGTTAAAAAATTTATATCGCATATGGCATCATGGTTCTTTTGATAGATCAGTAGCATTTTGCAAAAAAAGGGAAAAAAAGAAAAAGAAAAGGAATCCCCAAAACATGGATTTGTTTAATAACGGAAAAGGGAAAAGGTCGGTTTCAGAAAAAAAAAAGGAGAGAAAATTAACGTTTTGAAGTTTATACAGGCATTGCGCATGTCATCGACATCGAATCACATGCGTGGAGTGGTTGATATATATCTTCACGTAACATTATTTAAATTATGGTGGCAACGAATACACACAACAAATTTTTAGGTATTGCTAGAAGTCTATCAACAAGAGACACTACTACAAAATTGGTTTTGTTGGCGACCAAAACTGGTTCTCAGTGGCGGCTTAGTTAGCCGCGTGCAACTAAAGGCCTTAGAAAATCGTCAATTTTCGCTAGCGGACTCGCAACTGCTTGCAAAGACCAATTTTCACCGATGGAGGTATTAAGAGACCTGCCAGCGGGCCCCTAAGTCACCTGCCAGTTAAGATGTATTTTCACAAAAAAAAAAGAAGAAAATGTACTTCCACAGTAGTAGCAAGCATTAGCATCAGCAATACTCCATCAACACAACAGCAGCAAACATCGAAGTACATGAACACAAGAATCAACACAGCAGTAGCAAGCATCAATGGGAAACAGCAAAACACCGTCGCGGTCATCACTAAGCAACAGGAAGCAGCACATCCTCGTCACAGCTACGCGTGGTCGAGGTCGTGGTAGCCATCACCGAGCCGTGGTTGTTCTCACCTTTGCGGACATCACCAAATGTTTACACCAAAATTGACACCTTTGAACGAAATAGGGAAAAACTATCAAAGTTTGAAAAGCGTTGGGTTTTTCTGCATGGGGCCGGTCAGACCACAGTTGTGTGGCTAGTCTGATCGGCTAGTAGGGCTGGTCTGACCACAGGCATGTGCCCGGTCAGACCGACAGAGTCCGAGTCCGAAGCAGATTGAGCATCGTACCGACAGCCGCCATCGCCAAGGACCGCTACCCCTCCCGCAGCCGGATCTGCTGCCCGTGGACCTCCGGCGGATGGAACCGCCGCCTGCGCACCTCGCGTCACCGTCATAGTCATTACCGTGGCCATCGTCACCGTCACAGTCTCCTCCTCATGTGCCTGCTGAGGAAGAGGAGGGAGAGGCGCATGGGTGGGTGGGGGAATGGCAGAGCCGAGAAACGCAGGAGTAGGTAGGGGAGCAGTGGAGGAGGCGACGGTAGCCGGCGGCCGAGAGGAGGGAGTAGGTGTGAGAGAGGCGGAGAGAAGAGCCTAGGGCGGTGGAGATGAGGTGGGAGGAGGGAGAGAGGTTGGGGCGGTGGAGAGAGAGAGAGGGAGGAAGGGGCGTGTGGGTGGTGGTAGGCCACATCATCGATTTATATTATGGTGATAATATTATGCAAGCGGTCCTCTTTAGCACATCATGTTTTTTAGCATGACATGCACATCATGTTGACTTGTTGTTTTTCTCTTGTCCTTTTGCTAAGACATATTCAATGCAAGGTCCTAAAAAGAGGTGGTCTTTTGAATCTCCTGAAGATGAAGATGAAGATAAAGATTAAGTGTTTCACACAAAACGGGGTGGTAATAACATGTGATTAATTAAGTTTTAATTATTACAAACTTAAAAAATGGATTAATCTTATATTTTAAAACAAATTTCTATATTCATATAGAAAGTTTTCGCACGAAATATATACCGTTTAGCAGTTTGAAAAGCGTACCACGAGTATCCAAAAGTTTAACCAACTTTTGTTGGAGAAAAGAACAGGGCATTATGTTTTTTTGCATGATATGCACATCATGTTAACTTGTTGTTTTTCTCTTGTCCTTTTGCTATAGATCAAGCGAAAGGTAGCTCAGACTAGGAAGACAGAAGCAATGCAAGGTCCTAAAAAGAAGGTTGCTTCAAAGCATAAGTTGACTAAGGAGGTGCAAGCAGTCAAGAAGCGTTATCATTTTTCTGTGACCACTAGATGACAGTCTAATTCCATCCTTGAAAAGGTTAGTTTGTTGAAGCCACCTCAGAGGGATAGATTGCATGATTTGGGTTTTGATTGGGTTTTCAAGTTTCGGATGAATGGTATTTGATCCAGGGAACTCATTGAATATCTAATGAATTGTCTTGACCCTACTCTATGTGTCTTGATCATGGTGGTTGTGGGAAGTTACCAGTGACTCCTTATGTTGTGCATTGTGTGATGGGGCTACAGAATGGTCACTTTGATCTACCAATAGCGTCTGACACTACTCCATTGGGTCCTATCAAGGAAGAATTTTGTCTTGGAAGGAAAGAGAAAATTTCTAGTTTATCCATTCTGGATAGGATTAACGAAGGGGGGGGGGACTGACAATTTCACAATGCAGTGTATTATGATGATCCTGTTTAGCAAGTTGTTGGCTCTAGACTAGAGCACAGACATCACAGGAAATGTAGTCAACATGGTGAGCAAAGACTTAGAGCAGTACAAAGACATAACCCTCTACAAAGGCGGAAGAGTGGCAAGAGGAGTATTGTTTACGGCTGCACTGCTTTCCTTGTGGTAATTTTCATCATCTTTTCATGGCAACCTTAATGCTTATTTATTTGCAGTATCACATCTATTAGCTTGCAGTAACATCCACCTTAATTTGCAGTAACTTAAAACATTCATTTCTTTCTTGTGTACGGTCAATTTGTTATCACATTCTAATATTTTTGCTTGCTTGCTTGAAGTAACACTGTAGCAATACTTAGATATGTTATGTAGTAACAATGTAGTTTACTTTGTAGTAACAAACATTTTGTGCTTTTTTTTGTTTGTAGGTGTATTACCTTGACAACCTGTTGTGCAAGTCTATGATCACGAACACCGAGACACCACGCTCACAATTTTTCAACTCCAATCTTATTGACAAAATTGAGAATCTGACGAAATCAACAAAAATAAGATGGCTCTATCTCTTTTCGGAAATTAAATGTAACTTTGTTTTTTTTACACTCTCCTTTTCTTTTGGTTGGATAGTGGCTGGCTGTGACACTAATCTTTTTTTTTATCTATACTTTCATGTAGCTGAGGTGTAGGGAAATCACATGCTACTTTGTTTCAAAGGGGAAGGGGAAGGTTGCTACTATTAGTGACTGGACTGCCACGTGTACGCCACGTAGACCAAAACCACCGTGGATTGGGTCGAGGGGGTAATTCGTCCGGTTTACATAGTTGGGGGTGAAGAATGTCCGGTTTTGTGGTTCAGGGGGGTAATTCAGATGACCGCGATAGTTCGAGGGGGTAATTCGTACTTTTTCCTTTAGCAAAAATATGGTGTAGTTATTGCAGAAAACAAATCGTATGCTGAAAAAAAAGAAACTTATAGGCACCTGACAAGCTGTTTCCATAAAGTTATTGTCTTCTTCTTGAGCTTGACCCTTCCTCTTTTACAAGTTTGCTTGTTTCTATAACGCAATGGATGCTGTGATTTCTTTTGACCTTTTACTTATGCAGGTGGTTGCCTCTCCTCTTTCCCTTCCATCACCACTGTCACTGCGTCACTCTCCTCTCCCCCTCCCATCGCTACTGCTACTGGCTCACCCTCCTCTCCCATTCCGTTGCAAGCACAGTAGGCCGAGTTTGGGTTGGGTCAAAAGAAACCTCCAAGTTATCACCATCTCTGTTCACAACCTTTACTAACTTCAAGGGCTTGCCATCTTTAACAACTGAACCCATTGCATGAAAAATAGATAAGCACATAGATGAGTTGCTGCAAAAAATAAAATATGTTACTACAAAGTAAGGTTTGTGTTATTGCAAAAACATCTAAACTACGTATAGGTTGTGTTAATGCAGGGGCAAAGACACATGTAATTGTAACTGAGTAACCATGTTATAGAAAACATAAGTCAGGCACCATGCATAACTTCATGTACAAAAATAACAAAATATTGTGACCTCTATACCAAATATGATGACATCCATACCCATAGCTATTAAAACTTACACCAAAGTTCATAGTTATCAAGAAACATTTGTTTCTAAAAGAAATTGTACTACACAACTTTAATAAAAAGGCATTACTATCCTGTAAAAAAAACATGGTTAGTTTATCAACACTCACATTTCATTGTTGATCCTCTCTTGTTGCAAGAAGTGGATTTTCTAGAGAAGAGGTGCCAAATAGAGTACCGTTACCACTAGCAACACATAGAAAGTTGCCCCCAAAAAATATGTCACCGTGTGACCAATAAGAACCTACAAGGAAAATGCATTGTGCAAGGTGAAAACGAATTTTCATCTCAATAATTTTGGTCCGGCACATGGGCAATGCATACATCAACCAATTAATGCATGAAAAATGATTACTGCTAAAATAATAACATATATTACCGGATTGTACCTATTGTCATTGTGCATTTGCCAACAGTGGGAGAGCTAGTGATATATACATGTACACACCATCACTAAATATGTGGATTATACGTGTCCTACATGTCATGACAAATAGGTCAAAGTACTCTAGGTGGTGAACCAACAAATTCTTACCCAGAGAAAAATTAATAGCATTTCTATCCTTAGGTGAAACCAATTTTCATCTCAATATTGGTCCGGCACATGGGGCAAACACAAAAGTAAATTTGAATTCAACATTGTTGAATTTGTGATTTATTAAAAAAAACCAAAAATCAGGAAAATAATGTTAGGGATTAGCCAATAGAAGAAAGGAAGGGAGGGAGCCGCGGGGGGGGGGGGGGTGGGGGGAGCGCCGAGGGAGCGCCGAGAAGGGGACCGGCGCCGTCGCCACTTAAAGCGGTGGGGAAGGGCGGCGCGTGAGGAAGAGAAAGAGGGAGAGGCGCCGGGTGGGGTGGATCTTTTTTTTTCTTTTGGTCGGTTTTTTATTTTCAGTTTTGGGACAGGACTAGAGGAGTAGAAGGGGCAAGGGCGTGTGCCCAGGCGCCGATTAGGCCCGGTCCCCCTATTCTTCCTCCTCTAGTGAGTTTGGTTTCCTTGCTGGTTCGAACTCGGGTTAGCAAGAATGAAGATCCTTGATCCTCGCTTCTACCACTTCTCTTCCAATTGAGATCCTCTGCAGTACTGCATGTGCAGCTGACATGTGGGCCCGAGGGGCTCGGGCCCACATGTCAGTGAGCAGTACTGCAGAGGACCTGCATCCCTTCTCTTCAGGTGTTACCGCGTTAGAGGACGTCAGAGACCACCTAGGCAATTGATTATGCCACGCATTTGCATTCTACATAATCAGATGCTAAAATTGTATTCATTTTATTCCCATGGAAGGTTCCAAATAATGATCGAAACTTGAGAGATGCTCCGAAACATACATGTATACGTCATGACTACACCGTCTTTCTAAGAATTCAAGTTCCTTCCAGTACTAATCAATCGGTTGAGTGATCGATCGCCGGCCTGCAGTGCAGGCTGCTAAATTAGTTAGTTTTTGGCGGCGGCGGCGGGGCAAAAGGTGATGCGGTAGCCGGTGGCGTTGGCGCAGGTGAAGGTGCTGCTCCGGTCGTCGAACGCGTAGCTGTACGCCTGCGGGCACTGCGCCTTGAACAGCCTCGAGTACTCGCTCGGAGCGCACTTGTCCGGCGACGCGAACCGCCCGCGGCAGCACTGCTCGTCCGTCCCGAACGCCAGGCACGCGCTCTTGCACGCCACCACCGCCGCCGCCGCCGCACCGCCGCGATCTGCCGCTCGCACCGCCAGCTCGCTCGGGCACACGCGGTTGATGTCCGCAGGGCACGCCGTCGTCCGGCACAGCGCGGCGGCGGCGCCCTCCTGCCGCCGCTCCAACAGCTCCGGGCGCACCTCGACCGGCAGGTTGAAGCCGTCGACGTTGCTGACGTCGTAGAAGTCGCTGAGGGCGCCGGCGCCGCCTCCGCCGCCGCCGAGGGTGAACTCGGCGAGGGTGGCCGGCGGCGCCCCGCCGGCGCCGTTGCACGCGACCTGCCCCGTCCCGCAGTCGCCGGACTCGCAGGAGAAGCGGCCGCCGCCCGTGGCGCACCGGTGGCGTCCCCACACCCGGCCCGACCACGTGGCTGTGACGCCGGCGACGGAGAGGGAGGCGCCCGGCGGCAGCGCGAAGCCGGTCGTCGGGAACGGCGGGCGGCCCGCCGAGGACAGCGCCGCTGGCCAGACGGTCTCCGGGCAGTTGTTATGGAAATGGAACGTGAAGTTGACGGCCGCTGCACCTGATGAAGTCATTCGCAATAATGTGTCGAAATTCCAATCAATCCACTGTTGGAAATCTTGATACATCAATTTTTAGGACTTAACAAGTGATTTTTTTTTAAAAAAATGGTGAGTTTGGTTGTCATGAACCACTACTGGTTATTTGCATGATCCTGGGCTCCAGCTGAATTTCTTACCTTAATTACCTATCCTGGCTGGAAGGGGAACAGCACATGCTTGTGGTACATGCTACCTAGCTACAGCCAGTGTCGGCACGCGAGGAACATATACTATGCGCAAAAAAGTTTTGGATACACTCGTTGCACAAATCACACCAACTAACAAATGCCAAAAAGGAAGGTGCAGTTGTTAACCTGCGCTCCGGTTTTCATTTTATCTTTTCTTGAGGATGATTGTAAGAATCTTAACGTGGCTTGAATAGAGTTATTAGCAGTCCCCTAAAAAAAACAAATGCCAAAAAAACTTAAAAATATGTACATATACTTCTAATCTTACTTAACCTATATATAAAATCCCAATTTCAAATTTATTTTATTTCAGCAATAAAAAATCTGATAATTTCAAGAGTAAATATATTTGTTAGATTTCTCTCTTTTCTGTTCCCTATGCGTTACGAATTTGAAGTTGGAATTTCATATATAGGTGGGGTAATATTAGAAGTACACATATATAGTTTTTTTAAGATCTTTTTATGACATTTGTTAGTGCACAACTGCACGTGATATGCTCCCGGGCATGCGTATGGTGTGAATGCTGATTATGCAAGCATACTTATATTTCATTTTGCTCTTTTATCAAACTTACATATTTCATTTTCTTGAATAAAATAATACCCTTTTATAGATGCTTGTATATGGTCACGCATGAGTTACGATTTTACAATGTGACTATTGGTTTTGATAGGCACTAAAAGGGTTGACAGTCATCGGAAGCAAAACAGAGGGAAGAAGCAAATCATCTCAAGAAGAAGAAACACATATGGCTGCCCGCTTATGTACAACAAAGATTATCTCATACTCGTAGCAAAGAGCACGAAAACAAACAAATCAAGAGAGGCAGGGACAGTGATCACTGTGCGTGTATGTTTTGGAACGAGTGCGATCACTGTGTGTGCACGTTTGGATTTTGGACGTGCATGAAAAGCATGAACCATGGAAGTCCAAAAAAAAAAAACAGGAGTAGAGCGTCCATACGTCTTATAATCATGTCAATTATGAGTAGATTGGATGCAATATTAAAGAACTAAAAAATTCATGCGCTTATACACTCGATAACTGAAAAATAAAAATTATGCGAATAACACTCAGCGAGTCAACAATAAAGGGAATCATTGTAGGTTCATCGACCTGTGAAAGCAAGGATAATAGTGGGCTATAAGCTAATTATAAGCTTATGTGAAAGAAAGAGAAAGAAAAGCGAGGAGTGTTTACTCTCATACAAGAGTTAGTTCTACACATTCTTCAAGATATTTATATTAAACTCATATTGAAAGAAAGAGATATGAGAGGAAAAATAGAGCCAACCTCATAGTTAGCCTATTATACAAGTTAACTCTAACATAGGCTAAGACTGTATTTCTTTGAGCAAAAAGATAGCGACAAATTAACGAATGATTAATTAAGTATTAGCTTAAAAAATTAAAAAATGATTTATATGATTTTTTTACAACAATTTTTGTATGGAATTTTTATTGCAAAAAACGCACCATTTAACAGTTTGTGAAGTATGTGTGCGAAAAACGAGAGATGTGAGGTTGGGAACCTTGAGGAAAGAACACAGCCTAATAGTCAATAGTTAGCTCTACTATTAAACTTGCTCTAATCATTACGAGTAACTAAAAGACAGGATGTCGTTTTGAGAACCAGCCTTAAGTTTTGAGAAACACTTTGTTTTCAAAACCTACTCAGAATCTTTCTGGCATCAAGAAGAGGCAAACACAAAAAACGGACCGTTTCCAAGTATGAAGTTCCTGAGATGCGAATGAACAGGGCAGCCATGCGCAAGCACGGAAGCAAGTTGTCCAGGACCGCATCTCACGCCCATGCCGGTATCAGGATTTCTACATACATGGCCCATTTGGACACATATTTCACGGCGATTCGGCAAACCATTCAACTATATATATTACTACTATAGAAACACAAGTGACCAGTAGATCCATCAGACTGAAAAGGACTATTTGCAGATAGATTTTCTGGTAGATAGGATTACCATTGACACCGAGCAAGAGGACGAAGAAGGCAGCGGCGGTGGAGGCCGGTAGGAAGTCGCCCATGGCCATGGATTCTCGTCCTGGCTTCTCCTGCAACCTGAATGGAGTTGTTCTGTTTCCTGTGATAGTTGCCACAGCTTATATACGCTCCCGGGCGGTCTTCCAGCTTGCTATATATACACATAAATAGGATCCCATTCTGTTAGCGTATACGTGTAAGCATGCACACAATCCTTATGTAATCGTGTAACGAAAATCGAAAGATTGGATAGATCATCAGCATAATGTTGTTCCGGTAAAAATAATGGGGATCGAAAAAAGTTAAAGCTGATTCAAATTTTTTTCTTTACCATATTGGATGCTGTAAATAGGGTAAATATAAAGTAGAAATCGGTTGTCCATCCTAATTAATTGCTCCTTTCTTTCACCAGCTTGATTTGGTAAATCCTTTCTTTGGTCCCTGATTCCAATTTGTTCTTGATGGATTCAGTAGAGCAAAGAATTGGTGAGCTTAAGTAGAATTCTTTTGCTTATATTATTATACATTTGACATTAAATCTATTGCAGGGGTCAGGCTATCAAGGTAAACCTCAACAATTCAACAAGGATGATATAACAGCTTATGAAATTTCTTGTTTATCGCTTCCTGTCTAATGCTGATTCAGTCAATGTTTAGCAGGAATGATCAAGTCACCTTGGTGCTTTGCAATGTCAAATGGCAGATGTCCAAAAGTCTCGGGTAAATACCTCCGATTCTTCTAATAACTTGGGCTGTGCCACAAATTATCTACTCGCATTGGATAAAATTAAAATGCGATTCTCAAGGGTAAAGGCATAAAAAGGGATTAAGGAACACATATAACAATGTACCATGTTCTTCGGGTATAGGAGCGATCCCAAGAAGGTTAAGAATATTAACCATATAAGAGTGATGGAGCAATCTCTCAAAGAATCTCAAAATCGCATCTGAATTCATAAGGTATATAATATTTCTTAACATTAAAATCGGCTGATCCTGTTGCCTGATTTACTGCATAATATCTGGAGTGTTAATGCCAATTCATATATTGCTCTACTATCATTATTTCAGTAGTGCATATGCTATTACTCAAAATAATCATTTTGCAACTTGTAGAACTTTGCAAAGCAACATCTAATGGGCCTACAATGTGCTGTTGTTCAGGTAAGAAGTTTCGGCTTCAAAATTCAGATCTGCACTGGAGGTTTCTGGTTCAGTCGTTTAGATATCTGACCAAAGTATCGCCCTTGCGAACTTCAGTTCTAGAATGACACGAGATCCCACTAGGACTAATGGGTGACGGGAACTTTGTCATGGTTTCGCGGTGGCGGTGCGTAGAGGGGCAGTAACCTATGATACCACCTGAAGATCCCAACTTGCTCCATCCAAGGTGAAATTGAGCTAAAATGAAGAATTCATAAACTTCAGAAGATGCCATGAATTGAACTTACTGACAAATGCATAATTCAAAAACCTAACAAGCTCGCACGAACTAACACAAGAAAATCTTCTCCTGATGTAGAGACATTGGGTGTGCAGCGAACAAGTGGTTGCGGAGCTACCCAGGCTACTTCAGCATGAGTGGCCAGTCAACCGAGAATCGAGGTGGCAAGCACAAGCTAGATATGTGACTGTGTTTATCTAATTAAATCAAAATTAATTCCTGCTATGCCATTAACTTAGTGTTACTCTAATTAGAGTTCTCTTTATATATGCCATTTTTTTTAGGAAGCCCAATACACAGACCTTCTTTCTCTCTCCATACTGTTAATAAACGTTCTCGACCAGTATTCTGATGTTTTATTTCCCATGAACAATCCACTAATATTCATATACTTTGAAATGGCATGGCATACTGGTATTTTAGTCCTACATCTTTTAAAGCTCATATTCCAAGAGTCCCTAAAAGATTCAAATGAAAATTTTGTATATTATAACATACCTGAAACAATCCAAAGGTTCTCTACATGAATTTTCCGTTGGAATAATTTTTCCATAATTCTTTGCTCCGAATAGGGCCTTAAGGTAATGGTTAGTGAAGAAAAGGGCAGAAAAACATCATACTGAATATGTACAAGAGAAAGCAAAATACTAAATATTTAAACAATCAAATGATTTGATGGTAAAGTAGGTTTTGATATAAATTACAAGCAGTCAACAAACATAATATTCTATATATGGAACTCCAGATCTTTATTTTTACTTAAGAGGTCAATTTCGATAGCTTTTGTTGGAGCTGGTTGCAAATATCAAATCTTGGGATCTGTTAATTCACGAACCAAATACCAATAAAAAAAAACTAGAAATGGAATGTTTTATGATTAAATTGTTCTTATGATGCCATGTAGGTACATTCGCACTACATAGCATGCGCTCATTTAACAATCTAAAAGGACACCACTGTGCAGAGGATTAAGCATGTATCAAGTCCTCTTCTGAAAACAGAAAACTGCAATGCGTGTTGTAACAGATTCTCAAGTCATGCTACAAATGTGATGAGCTTCTAGAGATCCTAAATCAAATGACCATATATGATGCTAGATGAATCTAGTGCTGGTTTTTAGAAGCTACTTAAAACTGGTTCAATACCTCAGTTACACGAAGGAAGAGAGCTACTTAAAACAGTGTCAATAATTCATTGTTTATGGTCAATTTAGTCCATAAAAGTCATTTTGGACAGATTACAGGCAGCTTCTGCCTAGAAAAACTGTTCCCAAACCCCCCAAAACTACTAAATTCTCCACAGCTCTGAGAATCAGAATCAGTTAAAGATGCAGTAAAGCAGAAGCAGGTGGCTTGCAGCTGCTGGTGGTATGCATGGAGCAAAGGCACAATTCACAAACCATAGACTCTGTTCAACTAAAATGGAATGATATTCTTGAATTGCATTTAAGGATCAAAGTATCTAGTAGAAACAACACATAATGACACAGGGCAACATTTATAGATGAACAAGACCAGCAAATGGAAATTGACGTACACTATTGCACATTTGTAGTCTTCTTCCTCTATTCAGGGTTAGGGGTTGAAAGATATAGCCGCCGGTGCACTATCCCACACCTCAATGGACCGCTTATCATCCCTCGCCAATGCCATCCTGCTGCCTCCAAAGGCCCAGCTCACAATCTTGGTCTTCTCCTTCACACTCTCGTGGCCACTTCCGCCTGCAATCACAAAGGATGGTCCATTCCCCACCCAATTCCTCCTCATCAACTTCTTCCCACCAGCTTCTTGAGCCAATTCCACCTGTGTCCACACCTCAACCTCTCCACCGCGCGCCACAAATACCCAATTGAGATAGCACTCAATCCTGCAACCATTCCCCTCCTTTCTGCCTGCAGATGCCGCAGCTGCTGCTCTCTGCCCATCTCCAATGCACACCCACGGTTCAATGCTAATGCCACCACCACCGAGCATTCTCAAGTCAGCCATGAACACTTCACCGGATGCTGCCCCCACCTTGAACAACGATGACAGTGCCTCTGATGCGGCAATGTCTGCGAAGCAGTCCTCCTTCTCCCTTAACTCCCACACTGGCACAGTCGCGCTCGCCCGAACATCCCAGAGGCAAATGTCCCCCACCACTCCGGCAGGACCAGAGTGCGACCCAGCGGCGAGCAGGAGATTGTGCCTGCCAAGCCAGCTGAGCCTGGAAGCCGGGATGGCTGCCTCCACGTCCGCACCATACACCTCCTTCCGGCCAATTTCTGCCACAGGTGAGAGGGAATTCATGTCAAACGTCACTACAGCGCTCGAGTTCCGCCGTGCCGACTCGAAGCTGGTGAACAGCCAAGGGGATGACACTTCGGTGGCAGAAGTGGCTGCCATCGACAGCACGGTGGCGGAGGGGGATCCTGGCCAGGAAAGCACCTCGCGAGCCGTGGCGGGGGCATCATCCGGGTACAGGCAGAGGTGCACCCCTGCGAAATCGCGTGCGCCGGCGAGGGCGAGTGTAGGGGACACCGCGACGAGGGAATCCACGGCGGGGAGCGGCGTGAGCACGCTGCCGCGCGAGGCGAGCGCGGCGTCGAACCGAGTGACGACCCCGCCATGCGCGGCGAAGACAGAGGCCGGATGCGGGGAGGGCGGCACGGCCACCGCGGACGGGGGCACGCGGCCGGCGAGCGGGAGCAGCGCGGAGGGCCGCAGGGCCAGCGGGGAGAAGGCGGAGGCGGGGGACAGCGAGGCGAGGAGCGCGCCCTCGACCCCGAAGTGGCGTGCCTCGGCCAGGAGCGCCGGGGAGGGGGGATCCGAGTCCGGCGACGTCGGCGCGAGGCGGCCGCGGCGGAGGAAGGAGAGGAGGGTCGCGAAGAGGCGCGGGTCGCGGTCGAGGAAGTGCGGCGCGGAGGCCGGGGTCGGGGCGAGCGAGGCGAGAGGGGAGGAGGCGCCGGCGCGGGAGAGCGTGGCGACGGTTGTCTGGAAGACCTCGCCGCCGACGTTGAGGGTGACGACGGAGGAGGCCATTGGAAAACTTTGGGAGCTGCGGGGTTTGGTTGACTTGGCTGAGAGCCTAGAGAGACTTGTTGGTGAGAACGAGAGCATCTTGGGCTTTACGGGCTAAATGAGCTCGGCCTGCTAAGAACGATGGCGGTTTCATTTGCATAAAAAGTGCACTTTACATCCCTCAATTTGTCACCAAGTTAGAAATTCGTCATTGAACCGCAGAACCAGATATAGCACGTCCCTTAACTTACAAAACCAGATCATATTTGTTCTTAAGGCAGTATTGAGAGTGGTTTAGCGCCTACGTGGCAGTTTGACTTGGTCTTGTTAGGTGACATGGCGTATTGTCAGATCGAACGGGGATATACCCCAAGAACCTGACGAACCCTCACTCTGTGCGTCTACTTGGCAAGGGGCTCGTGCTCACTGACGGCGATGAGTGGAAGCGCCACCGCAAGGTGGTTCACCCAGCCTTTAACATGGACAAGCTCAAGATGATGACGATGACCATGTCCGACTGCTCTCGGTCCATGATGTCGGAGTGGGAATCGGAGTTAGGGGCGAAGGGTGGTCTTGCTGAGATTGAGCTAAGCAGGCGTTTCGAGGAGCTCACTGCCAATGTGATCTCGCACACAGTGTTTGGTAGCAGCTACAAAGAGGGGAAGCAGGTCTTCCTGGCACAGAGGGAGCTCCAATTTCTTGCCTTCTCCACCTTCCTCACTGTTCAAGTTCCAGGGTTTAGGTACACACATTATTAACTTATCCCGATACAAATAGATTTAGAAAGAACACAAAATAATATATCGGTGCTTTTTTTTGAAAATGAATCAGCTACCTTCCGACCATGAAAAACTTCAAGACATGGTCGCTCGACAAGAAGGTGAGGGGCATGCTCATGGACATCATCAAGACCAGGCACGCCAACAAGGATGTAGTTGGGTATGGGAATGACCTACTTGGGTTGCTGCTGGAGGCGTGTGCGCCGGAGCACAGGGAGAGCCACCCACAACTAAGCATGGATGAGATCATCGACGAGTGCAAGACCTTCTTTTTTGCAGGGCATGACACCACCTCACACTTGCTCACCTAGACCATGTTCCTACTGAGCACGCACCCAGATTGGTAGGAGAAACTAAGGGAGGAGATTGCAATGGAGTGTGGTGACGAGATGCCCACTGGTGACATGCTCAACAAGCTAAAGATGGTCAACATGTTCCTCCTAGAGACCCTAAGGCTGTACAGCCCTGTCTTACTCATACGGAGGAAGGTTGGCACTGATATTGAGCTCGGCGGCATCAAGATGCCTGAGGGTGCACTATTGATGATCCCGATCGCAACAATTCACCGTGACAAGGAAGTGTGGGGGGAGGATGCGGATGAGTTTAGGCCGGAGAGGTTCGAGAATGGGGTGACGAGGGCAGCGAAGCACCCCAACGCGCTACTCTCCTTCTCCAGCGGACCGAGGTCATGCATTGGGCAGAACTTTGCAATGATCGAGGCCAAGGCTGTCATTGCCATGATCCTACAGAGGTTCTCCTTCACTTTGTCCCCCAAGTACGTCCATGCACCCACTGATGTTATCACGCTGCGTCCCAAGTACGGGCTCCCTATGATCCTCAAGAGCCTCAAGCTGTAGGGAGAAATACGTAAGAAATGTATGAATTGTCCTTTCTCTTCTATAAGAGTTTTCCACTTCGCTGGTAGGAGTTATTTAGAACTAATTGGTTGTACAAGATACATCAATTTTGTTGATGTTATTCAGACAATGTATTTGTATATTTCATTTTAACAAAATTTGGATGTGGATTTGCTTTTTGATTGGGTGTAAGAAGTTTTGCTTATTTATTGCTCATCAACCAAGTAGCAATGTGATGTATATTATGTATCTAAGGTCGGAAAAAAGAACATACTCATGGTTGTGTAATACTCTAAGTCAATCTGTACTTTGTATACATTACTTCTTGATACTATAATGATCTTTGGATGTGTAAAATATAGTAATTTGGGAGAAGTCATATTACCATCTCAACAGTTCCGCTTATCTAACATACCCCATTCACTCACCCCTTAACATTCAATGCCATTTAGTTTACCACCTCTTAGCTTTCCACCCTTGATTTGGACCACATTGGATGCCCACAACTATTACAAGATGGGCCATCCGAACTGCCCCATCACTACCAGTTTTCATTTGTTATCAGATTTGATGCCACTGGAACCAGCTAGTCTATGTAGCTATGTCCCAACTTGATCCCCCACCATCACAAGCAATGATACTGAGTACCTAGATCCATGAGCTCTCCTCTCCTCCTCCTCCCATCCCGGTGAGCCCACTCCTCATCCAAACTTAGGTGATCTTCTTATGCAACTCCGATGAACTCCATGATTCATCGTTAGTGAGCATCTAGCTCCAGGGAACTCTGGTAGGCCCTTCAAGTTAGCACTTTGGGTTGGGGTTCCGGGAGGGGGGGGTGAAGAGAAGGGGATTTTCCTAATTGAGGGTACGGTAGAAGCAACACGTTGGGGGAGTATATCATATATCTTGTTATGCACATCAGCACATGTTTAATCCAAGTTAATCAATTTATTCATATCATTTTACATGCGATTGGTTGGTCAACATGTAGAGGTTGATAGCGGGATCATTGGGACCAACAATTTCATTAAGTTGAGTTAAACAAATAAATCCCAAGAAATAAAAATGGTATTGATGCTCAAGTGAGATCAAATCACATATGTTTCAAGATGAAGAGAAAGAATATGGGAATCATGTGTTGATCCACATGAAGAGTGACTGATAAAAAGGCATTGGATGGATGCCATAAGTTCAAAGGCATCAATTGGCTTGAAGAAATAAAAGTGATGGTACATCATGCGTTGATGCATATCAAGTCAAGTGATGATTAAAGATAGTGATGTCCATTATCTAGTTAAACTCAAGAGAAGTACAAGGAAAAGGTATAATGAAGCTAAACATCCCTTTTCTTAGCCTTTTACCTGTCCCGGTATTTTTATAAAGACCAGATTGAGTATTGGAATGACGACTACTAAGACGGATGTAAGCGTGTTTGGTTAGTTTTGTCTCAAGTGCTCAAAATGATTTATCTTTATGTGAGTTGAAAAACCTAAACTAAAATTCCAACTCTAGGTTGTTTCACATGTCATAACACATACACCTAATTTCTTTGCAAGTTTTTCAACATCTTTTAAAGGTTTTGGACCATGTTTTGGGTAAATTGGAACCATGCCATTATAATTTTGCAAAATTTGAGATATGCCATCCTGACCCACATGTCATTGACTCATGTGGGTCCTACATGTCATTGAGATACCGATGGCATATCTCAAACTTTACAAAATTAAAATGGCATGGTTCCAATTTACCCTGTTTTATATAGGTTTTAATAGCACTCGAAATAAGCTTTCCATGGAGTCCAAGATCGTTGAAGTCATACTTCAAAGTAAAAGTTCTTGCCTTTTCACTTGAGCAACATCAGACTATCCGACCTCATATTGAACATTGGAGTGTTAATTTTTTTGAGGAACTTAGTTCTATGTTTCGAACCAAATTTGGTGTCGGGATATCCGATGTGATCGGGATATCCGATGCTTAGTCAGACTATTGGATGCCTCAGAGAGTTGGAAGTTTTACCAAACTTTATTCTCTATTTGGCTTGTGATTTAAAGTCATATTTTCTGATGTTACGATCGGAGTATTCGGTCCAGTGTTTTCCAAAGACCTTGGATCGAGTTTTTTGACTATTGGGGACCTGACACTGAGATCGAAATGTGCAACCTAGAAGTTAGATTATCCGAGGTGGGCCTGGAATCTCCACCCAACGGACAGATCTAGGGGTTGCTTATTTAAATCCCCACCCAAACCCTTTACAAGGTTAGCCCTTCATTTCCAATCTTTGTGGATTTGTGAGTTTGGAACTTTCCATTCTTGAGCTCTCTTGCTTCCTCTTAAATGCACTCTAATCTTTGTGATTTGGCTTTTGGGTGTGTAGATTTGAGTTGAGTTTCTTGTATGGGCACAAATATTATTTCTCGAGCACTAGAGTTCATTTCCAAGCAAGCTTTGGGTGCATTTTTTTTTGTTGGTGATTGCGGTCTCCTAGTTGACTAGGAGTCGCTTGTGAGAACCCCAAGGATTGCGGTGTGTCGCGGTAAAGTTTGTGAAAGTTAGATCTCACCTCCACAAGGAAAGAGATACCCTTAGTGGAATAAGTATGAGGAATAGGTGTCACACCTCACCCTGATACTAATGGTGACACCAGAGAGGGTGCATCCTAGGAAATTAGGACGTACCGGAAATTAGGACGTACCAACTCCTGTGGAACCGTGTAGCCGGTATTCGTCCCAAGACACAATTGCAGGTACCCGTGGTCAACTGAGATATGCATCATTGCAACTAAATATAAATATAGATAGATTATACCCTTTTATGAGGTTACATCTTCGACAAAGGCGGCCATTTTGCATCGCGGCTTTCAAAAACAACTTTTATTTTGCAAACTCGTTGAAACCATGTGTTGGGTTTTCAAAGTTGTAGAAACCAGTTTTTTCATAACAACAAATAAAGGGTGCTTCTGTGTTTGTCGGTACCTATGCCCGAGGGCATTAGTGCCGACGTACCATGAGTGTGGAGCGACAAGGATCAGGGGTGATGTGACCATGGCTACTACGGATACAACCGTTGCTCACATCATGGATGAACAGCACGATATCAAGTTCAAGTCCTCCAAGTGCTGGAATCTGATTCGGCCACATGCTACACTGCTGATTTCAAATGGCCACCGAATTTGCATACGACCTCTGTTTTCGGCCCGTGAGTACTTGATGGAAAGCTCTCAGAGTCCTCTTTCCAACAGATCCAGCCTCATCCCCGAAATCCATCTCTTTTGGCCGCAATTGCAGAAACAAGGTGTTGCGTCACCTATCATGGGCCTTTGAGCTTGTAACTTCGTTTGGGACCCCGGCCCAAGTGGGGCCCATGTGGGGTGCGCCCCAAGCTGGTGGAGCACGACCCTAGGACCCTCCCTGTCATTCTCCCACATCCTTAAATAGCTAGGTA